GAATCATAGAACCATAGGACTGGAAGGGACCTCGCGAGGTGTCTAGTCCAGGCCCCTGCACTCCTGGCAGGACTAAGTATTATCTAAACCATCCCTGACAGGTGTCTGTCTAACCGGCTCTTAAAAACCTCCCACGATGGAGATTCCACAACCTCCCTAGGCAACTTATTCCAGTGCTTCACTTCCAGTTAGGAAATTTTTCCTAATGTCCACCCTAAACTGCCCATGCTGCAATTTAAGGCCACAGGCAGGGAGCAAAGCTGCTCCAGGGATGGAAACAGCCGCCACTTGTGCAAGGTGATAAATCAGGCTATTGCTGAGAGCGGCTTGTTCTTCTCAGTTGTCCAGATGGAGTCCTGCCGACTGCCGTCCCCAGGGGCCATTCCCTCCGAGCCTTCACCATTGTGTTCCTTCCTGCTCACAGGCTCCCCTTTCATCAAGCGCTCCATTTTGACTGTTCAGCTACTGCTTGAGACGGCTGAGAGTTCACCATGTGCCTCTCTCCCCTCGGCCCGGCCAGCTGCCCGCTCAGAGCCACTGACAGCAGTTTTGACAAGCCAGCATGCTTCAAGCATTCCTAGCAGTGAGCTGGAGCGAGCAGTGGAGCCGTGTGCACTGGGCCATAAGCACCTTATTGTGTAAATGTTGCATTTGCCTTGCTATCGGGTGGTGCTTATTTGTGAACTGAACACGGAAGTGTGTGCACGTGGGTGCTGGGCTAGGGGAATGCAGCTGGTGTGCTTGCTTCTAAGAACGTTTCCTTTAGGTTGGCCAGTGGCCCTGCCTTCTCTGCTCCTTGGGGTCAGTCACGCCCGCTCTGCCGTCACCTTGTAATGCGTTTCCGTGCACGACAGGGAGGTGAATGGGAACCAGGTGGCCTGTAACGCATTCACTTTTGTTCTTGCAGCAACACCCAATGGGCCGCCCTCCAGCCACCCCGATAAAAAAGTAGCAGAGTCACTGAAAGATGGTGCAGCCTTGGAACGCAAGGGGAAGCTCGGTGACATCATCTGCATTGAAGACTAACTCTCAGCCCAGTGGGTGTTGGGGCCAGGGGCTGCCTTGCTCACATTTAAAGTGTTCTTCAAAACAAACCGCCCCCCCCAGCCCATTTCAAGAACTTCTTAGAAGGGGGTTTCATTTCCTTGTACATTTTTTGCACTTTCTTATTGAAGACTTGAAGAGTTTGTCTTGACAATGTTGGCTGAATTCTGACGGGATTATCTAGTAACAGTATTTATGTCTCTGTTTTTATCGACATGGATCAGATTTAAAGGGAGAGTGCATTGGAAGCTCTGTTTCTAGTCCAGTTACCCAAAGGTGTCAGTTAGGAGCCAGGCTTAATTCTTTTCTGTAGCCTCCTAGGTTCGTTCGATTGTTATGTCCGTTTTGTGTTTGAGCAAATGCATGCACACGTCAAGCCCTTCAGCCGCTGTTCTGCTGCCAAATGTCCCATGTATGCGCAGGGAGAATGCGCCCGCTGTCCTGCCAACTCTCCGCAGGCATCAAGGGAGAACACACCTGCTGTGCTGCTGGATATGCCTGGTATGTCCTCCTATTCCACTGATCTCGCCAGCAGGGAATGGGTTAAATGAGCTTGTGTTTATATTTCCTGACTGCTCGGTATCCAACACACCGATTGCCTAGCCTGTGCTGACGGAGGGCAGTTTTCTGAGCGAATACACAGATGGAGCTGGGCTAGCAGACAGCGTGGGATTCAGGGGGTCGAAGCCCTGGGTGTGTTAGGATGACGTGAGCTAGAATGTGGGTGCTGTAGTTACCTCCATAGACACTTGTGGGCCAGACATGAGAACGTGCCAAGTGAACAGCCTCCTGGGACCTTCCTGCATGGCCCAGAGTGCGGACAGCTGGCATCTGACTTCACAGGTAACCCGCAGCGTGGGGAGCTGGGGATTGTGGGTGTAAGCAGGAGGCTGTTTCTATGAGGGGTCTGGTGAGCAGGTCCCTGCCTCTGGGCTGCCCTGCAGGCTGCCGGGGCGCCAGGTCACTGCATGCCCCAAGAAACATCTCTCCCAGCCAGGTGTGAGAGCTGAGTTGCTGACAATGCAGTCTTCGCTGTTATGTTAGCTGAAGCCTAGGGTCTGCTGTATCCATTTACTGAGCCACAGGGCTGGGGGCTTCCTTCGTACTGGGCCAGAGAATAAAAGGGCAGCCCGTCTGCCTTGCCTGCCCCAGGCTAGTGCCCCGAGAGGTTGTTAGAGAGCAGCTTTGCTGTCACCACCTCCTTTGCCCACTCTAATCTGCCTTTCCCAGCACACGCCTGTGGTGACCAGCAGCGGCTTGTGATGAAAGCCGCCCAGCCCCTGCGTGCTGGCAGAGCTGCTGCCGGGCAAGCACTGGTGTCTGGCCATGCACGAAGCAGTGCCGAGGGCTCAGGGATGGCTGTGGAGCTGCCGCCCCACCACTGCCCCCATACACAGGCTGTTAGCTGAGGGTTGTGTGTGTGGGGAACTCCACGCCCAGCCGGAGCCTCTTCCTCTCCGCACCTGACCTTGCCAGCACCTTCTTGGCACAGAGGCTGATTGCCAGGACAGGAGAGAGGAGTGTCAGGGAAGTGCTCCTAGGTCAAACGCTGCACCTCGCCATCTCCCCCTCCTCACTGCATAGCCAGCTCTGCTCCCGCCAGAACCCGCTGCCGGGGCTTGGTGGTTCGCTGGATTCTGGAGGTTGAACTGGAGCAGAGCGAGGAAGCGTTCGCCCACAGCCCTACCCCAGCTTGGCTTGGGGAGCGATTGCTGGGACAGTGGAAGACATCCGGCCTCTGGGCACATCTGTGATGGTCTCCTCTGGACCCTTCGCCGCTGTCGAGAGCAGGGGCGTACGCAGCGCAGAAGGCTGTGGCTGGCATACTCGCTTGTCTGGCTAGGTTTGTTAACAAGCCAGGTCTCCCTGCACTGCGCCAGCTTTCCGCCTCCTCGCTCTGGGCTAAAGGCACTGCAGTGGCAGGAAGAGCATGGTGCCTGAGAACAGCAGGGCCAGTATTAACTCTGCAGCAGTAGCTTTGCACCCCATCCTCTCCCTCCACCGGGGAGGCTGGCTGCCCCCAGCACAATCTGACCCATGAAAAAGAAGGGCTGTCAGTGCTCACGCCCAGATCCTGGCAGCCCTGGAAGGGGCCAGTGAGGGGTACCAGGGTCCCCCACAGGGAAGGGTAATGTAGCGTGCACTCTAGTGGTGGGGACACATGCACTGGTGGGTGAAATGCATTCTGTAATAGCCGGGCATGGCGCTCCTGAGACCCAGCTGCTGGAAGCAGACACTGAAGAGAGTTGCAAACATTAGCCTCGTCTCTGCAGGCAGGCCCCGGTCTAGTGCAGAGGCAGCCGATGCAGTGTGGCCTGCCACCTTATGTTGTGGCAAGAAGATTTTTAATGAGTGCAAAGGCTTCTAATGGAGGGGAAATTAGCAACTCTCATACTTCATATCTCTGATGTTTACAGAGCTACCAGTGTGTTCTTCTGTCCAAAGTTTGTTTGTGATGGTTCCCTCCTGAATGGCTAGATTTCCTGTAGCAGTGTTTTGTTTTGTTTGGGGTAAGATTACTTGCCACTAGGCTGTGTTTGAACCATTTCCATTCACCCCCCCCACCCCCTCTGACTGCCCATCACCTCCCCCCTCCCCCAGTCCAAATGAGATGAGAGTTTTAAAAGGCTCTCATGGCTGGTTATGATAAACTAGCTAAAACTGCCCCCCCCCAACCTACTCACCCCACAAAGCTTTTTAACCTGCTTTTTTTCTACTACAAAGTAGATTCCTACCAGTAACTGTACCAGGGAAAGGCGCTGATGCCTGGACACTGGGGCCAGTATTCACTCCTCCCAACAACACTGTCTGCCCCAGACGCGATTATGCAACAATTTTGAGCAAGTTGTGAAAGCTCCAGTGAAATACAGACTAAGGCAGTGAAGATGCGGGGAATAGACTAGGGAAAACCGGAAGCATTTAAAGCTATTTTGCCTTCATGATTCTTGGTTTGTTATTTTGTGATACTCAATGAACCGTGCTGACCTTTTGTAGGAGCGTTTCTGGCGGCTGTAGCCAACACGAATCACCTTTACTTTGTACTCTGTGTGGATTTGTTTTTGTTTTCTGTGTTTTAATAAATCCTTTAAAAAAAGGAGTCAACAAAAATGTTTCCCAATTATTTTTATTGTTACAGCCTCTGCAGCAGAGTGGAAATGGGCCAATGAAGGGCTGTAGGCAGCTCGGGGGGTCTTCAGCCCCCATGAGTCACTTGAAAGCGCAGTAGGTTACCAAGCAGTGCCACGAACGCATATTCAGGTAGGTCTGACACAATCAGTACAGTAAGAGCAGGGCTGCTGACCACCAAAGGACAATGTTCCACCCACCCTTTCATCTCTGTCAGTAGGGCAGGAGGCGTTTCCGCCTCCAGGAGACAGCAAGTGTGCTCTGGGTGGGTACATGCCTGCACAGGCTCTGGCTTCTCACGAAGGGGAGGGAAAGGCTGAGAGTTGCTGAAATTCCCTTCCTCCAAAGGCTCAGCACCCTGGTGGTTTCTGAAGAGCGCATTAGCAGAAATACAGGCACCTTGCGCTCAGCTCTGAGACGATTGATCACCTGGGTTACAGGCTGAAGGAGCCGAATTATTGCCATGGCCTGGAAAGCTGCTGGGCGCAAGGGGGCGTGCGAGCTGAGCTTGAGCAGGGCTTGCAAACAGCTGTTTCTGCAGCCTCAGTGCAGAGAGGGGTGATGGCTGCTTCCCCTCCGGGGACATCACGTCTTGCTCGAAACATGCAGCCATAGGAACCACTTGGGGACCTGCAGCGCTAGGCTGGGATTGGAGAACAGGGGAAGCCACATGATGTGCCCCAGTAATGCCACGGCAGGGACCCCACAGGCATGGGGAGGCACTGTTATGGGATGGTGCAGGATCCCCCCGGTGGGATTAATGCAGCCCAGACTCCCAGCAGCTAACGGCTTCGGTCCAAAGCAGCCAAGGAAACCCTCCTACAGACACATCAGGCTGGCCTTTTATTTTGTCATACCATAAATACAGTAGCTGAATATCAGTCGCAATCATCATTCAGCAGCACAATGCAGGCAGCTGGCTTTGCCTATCGGTTATGCAGTTAGAGCTAATGTAATAATCACAGTCCTAGATACGTCTCTCTCTCTATATACACATATAAAAAGAAAGCGCTTTATTTACATACAAGGATTGACTGTCAGACAGGACAATAACAAGCTACTGGGGGCAGCGGAATTTTCCATGGTAAATAGCAGGTCTCGCTGCCAGGCCGCGAAAGCACATTAGCACACACAACAGCCAGAACTCACCTGCTCACCCCCGTTACACTCCTCGTACACAGGAACCAGAGAGACCCCCCTGGGGTAGGACATGGAGACTCAGACCGGAAAAGTCCTTGAACAGCTCCTGGACGGGAGGCTCAAGGGCCACAGGAGCAAGCGTTGGTGGCTGGGGGTGGTTCCTGCCCCATTTTCATTTTGCATCGTAACGTTCACATGAACAGGTGCAGCCCCACACCGTGCCCCCTAGGGACGCTGGGGCTGCAGGTAACATTAGACAAGCCAGACAAATAACAGCCGCTAATGTGCAATTGTAGGCAAGGCTGAGTCACCACCTTACACTCTCCCTGCCAGGGAACTTTCTCTGCCCATTCCTTACGCTGGGGAGACCTGAACCCCCCCCGCCACCGGGGAGCAAGACCAACACCCTGCGCTTTCCTGCAGCATGTGTTTGGGGTTTCACACCACCATCAAAGGCAATTACTCCCTGACTAGCCTACTCACCGCGCCAAAGGGCAGCCGATACCCAAGCAGTGGGCCCTTTTGCAGGGCCCATAAGCCAGACGGTTATTCGCCTGCTCACAGCAGCGGGCTCGCCCATTCCGTGTAAATATATATTTACACTGGGTTAGGAACAGGCATCCTATGCCCCAGGGAGCAGAAGGACCAGGGGTGTGGGGGGGAGGGTTGCAGTCATCAGTCCTGCCAATCCCTTGAGTCAGTTCTTGAAATGCAAGTGCAGAGCCGAGCGTCACTGACTGACGCACTGGCCCAGCGCTGTCAGCAGGTAACGATGGCGTTAGGCATTTGGTAAAACCCGTGTGACCAACTCGCTCACACCCGGGCCCGAAGGACCCTGCGTGGCCTCTGGAGTCAGTATTGAGGCCTGGAATACAATGGGCTGGTCACAGCTGTGCAGGACTGCCGGCCACGGCATGTGGCCAGGCTCTGTACGGGGTGCGCAGACTGAGGAAGAAATGGCCATGACCAACACTTGTGTAACATTAGCTCCTTGTTTCTTGTCTGGTATCAGACTCGGCCACGCCACACGGGGGCTTAGTTATTGCCAAGAAGTAAATAACAGGTTCTTTACAAACCAAAAAAGCCCCAAGTCTCCTGCTGGTCCCAGCCCTCTCTGCTAGTGCAGCGCCAATGCAGTGAACAGCGTCTGCGTTTCCAGCAGGAGCCCAGGCCTGAGTCCTGCCATGCTTTATGGAGCAGATACAAATGGCAGGTAGAGCAGATGCTGACGCTGGGATTGGAGTCCTCAGAGCAGCATTCTGGGCCATAACCAGGGACTGATTACAACAGGGCTGGGGCTGGGGCTGGATGGTGATGGGGGAGCAGGAACAGCAGTGGTTGGGCAAGATGGCATCGCGCACGTTAGTCGTAGGGCCCTTTGGTTGCACTGTATCTGGGCCCCAGTGAGGTTACAGCCAGGGCTGGGGATTCAGACCCCTGCTGCAGACCAGCAGCGTCACAAGCAGGTGTCATTCATAATCTAATTTGCAAAGTCAATCAGGAATAAACTGCACTGGTGCAAATCACAACTTGTTTATCTGCACTGGGGATTGAGCCAAGGCCGCTACCCCCGGACTGGGCACGGAGCTGACACAGCCCGAGCCCACACCACCAGCTGCAAAGAGACCAGTCCAGTGGGGGGTGCAGAAATGCCTTTTAAAAAGGAGCAAGACAAAAATGTTCAGAGCAAATCAGCTTTCCATGAGGTAGCTGGTTCTCCTCCCACTGCAGTAACCTAAGGTGTTGGGAGGACACAGCCAAGGGCTGTTTTAAAATGCCTTAATGGAACCAGATCAAGCCCTGCCAATAGATGTGGGTGATTTGTTTGTGGGTTAGGTCAGTGCTCTGATCCTGCTGTGCTAGAGAGGTTTGTGTGACCCACGTACACACACACAATCTCTGCGCAAATGCCAAACAGGCACTGCTTGGGTAGTGCCAATTAATTCAAGAAATGCAAGGGCATTTTCAGAGCAAGTTCCCAGCTCCCAGAGTGCTGCCGGGGAAGTGCTCTGTGCTGGGAACACCTGCCCCTGGAAAGAGAAAAAACGGAACAGAAGCACTAATATTTGTAAAACCTAAATAAATGCAGTCAGAGTCCTGGAAAACGTTAACCCCTGCCAGGGAACAATGATTCCTCACCACAGTTGCTTTATCATTGTTCATAAGTATTACTCTGCCTTCTCTGTGGACAATCCATATTAGATAAGTGCTGGAATAATTCTGCACCCTAAGGTTAGCAGAAACCTAACCACATGGTGGAACAGAATCCTATCTGTAGTCTAAGTTCCCAAGAGCTATCCCCCTTGTTATCTATGCAATAGTTATGAGAAAATACTGCCAACATTATACCAAAAATTGAAGTATGCGATTACTACAGTAATGCAAACTTCTGTGGCTTTTACATCTCAGACCACCTAGTGTGAAATGGCTTATCCTATAGCATCTTATTTACAGAAGCATCCTAAAGGGATCCCTATAGCCAACAATGAAACGCAGCCACCTCTAGGGTGAAAAGTGGCATCCGTTTAACAGCACTAGCAATGCTACCTATGAGTTTAGGACAGGAAATGAATATGTATTTATTGACTGTTATATCAAGTTGACTCAGTGGTTCCACAACATTGTAACAATTAGTCTAAATCCCTGAAAAAGTCCCCTCCTTTTTAAGATGAGATTAATCTTTAATGGAAATGGGGACGCTAGCAGTCTACCAAAGTAATTCATCTGGCAAGCGAGACCAAGCTATCTGCTGCTCAACTGAATATTTCCCTCAGTGATAGCTGTGCACATATGTCAGCACTGAAGCAAGTACCTACAAATGCAGTCTGAAATTTTAGGGGAAACTTGGTACCATATTAGGGAGCAGCCCACACAAGTCAGGCATATGAAACAAGAATAATGGTTTTGTAACGTACAAAAAATATTTTTTTTTTGTTTGCAAAGGCAAAAGATTCTCAAAAATATGCACTATAGCCGTTCAGTCCCGTGTGCAGTATCCACATTACTGAGCAGCACCTGGCCACAGACCAGACACAGCCGCAAGTCTGGTGGGTTGAACTCCTTAGTCCCACATCCTTGCTCATTACCATCATTTATTATGTGCAGTTGGTAACGATGCTCCATGATTGTCCTCGGAACTCATGTAAACTAAATCCCTGTCTGCCCTGCTCCTTTTAAAGGAATGACTGGCTCAGGCAGGTCGAGAGGTTGCTTACGAAATCTCTCAGATTCTGGGTGTTAAGGAAATCAAGCATCTAAAATTAAAGCCGAATGTTTCCTGGACAGATTAATTGAAGGTCTCTGCTCTCTGTCATACTAAGCAGTTACACTGTTTTACATGTACAAGACTAAACATTTACAGCTAATCTGCAGTTTAAATTGAGAACCTAGACCTGAGTGAATTACAGAGGAAATAATGAAACCAGCAAGATGCTCATGTTAAAATAGCACGGCCCGCTAGAGAGAAAAGCACTAGCACGGTGAGGGAGTCTTACTGGAATGCCTTCAATGCCAACACGCCATTTCTGTTCAAAGCCACAAACTGCATCCTGCACTCCGTCCTCAGCAAAACGCCCAGGAAGCCCACTGAGGCCAACAGGCGCTTGGGCTGAGAACATAGCCTGTTCATAGGGAGAGAAAGCCCCTTGACTGGAACTGAGTGGGCTCAGGCCTTGGGTGATTAGCAACACCACCTCGGAAGGTCAACCAGGAGGCACCAGAAAAATAAAAGAAGCACCATGACAACCCCCCCCCCCAGTCCCAGTGCGGGCCTTGGGGAGGCTACCGAATCGTGGCGCATGAACTCTTACACCTGCTTGCCAACAACTTGGCTGATTCACTTTGAATACTTCAAAAAATACAATCTTCTCCAACAGAAATCTATACAGAGCGAGCTGAAGAACAGAACCAGTTAGGAGATGCAAGCAGTACTCTCGAAACAGCTGTTTCTAACATGCCTAGATGGTTACCACAGACAGTCCTCCACACTCACATTAGCCAGAGCATTGTAAAGCCAGCATTGCTTTTGGAACAGAGACTATAATTCTTCCAGTTAAATGGTGTATGTGTCAGATCTGAATATTCAAGCACATTGTATAGGAGCTGGAATTAACAAAAAGCAATGATATTCTGTGTGTGTTTGTGAAAAAAGTAGTTTCTTCTTTTAAAAAAGGAAGCACAGAGGCCAATCATCTAGGGTAAAATCACAGCTCTGGCATACCCTTCCCAATCGGTGACTCTTCTTGCATTCAAAATAAATGTTACATAATAAGCATATGTCATCTTGCAGCAACATTTTAAACAATTTCTCTAACACATCTTGCCATGTTGTATTCTTTTGATGCCAATCACACTCTTCACTTGGCTTCAGTAAAGCTTAAGCAAGCAAACAGAAGGCTAGGAGTTGAGAGTGAGTCCAGGGGGACAGTAGGCACAGTTAGGATCTGTAGTCCTTTTTGCTGTATGGTTTATTGCCCAAAATACTATCAATCTCGTGTATAATGGAAGAGGACAATTTTGGAAGAACCTGTACACAACAAACATACAAACAAAATCAGCATGTAAGTCAACGAGGAAGTTGTTTCAAGGTACCTAACAACCTGCAAGATTTGAGCTATCAACATACCCCAAAGCCAGCAGCGGAAAGTGATCACTGGCGGAGTTTAAGCAGGTATTAATGACAGCACATATTATCGAGATGCACAAGATGCTCATTAATAAACTGTATTGACCAGCAGGCAACACTAAAACCATCTATATCCTCACTTGTGACAGGGACCAGCAGGGGCTGATTGATGTAGTGATGGTCATGAGCTTCCCTGCAATCACAAATTATAGCGTGGGAAAAAAATACTGTAACAGGCGTGACCGCTTTGGAAAACAAAGGTAAACGGGAAAGCAAATCAGCCAAAACCAACGGCTGAAATACATGCTTAAAGAAATAAAACACGTGGATGTGAATTCAAGGCGTTATTGGTTCCTTCAGTGTCATGTACCATTTGCTAGCTAGAAGGGTTGATGGGCTAAACAACCCATCAACCCTTCAAGTTTTCAGAATAACTTTGGTTCACTGAAAGAACCTGTTACGGGAAAACATGTGATTTGTTAAGGGCCCGATCCAAAGCTCAACTGACAGCTCTCATGAAAGCTGATCCAAGGACTCTAAGACTTCGACTTGGTGTCATGGCTCATAAACCCCCTCTTACTAAATTAGCCCAATGTAGCAGCCCTTGTTAATATCTGCAACATTAGTGCAGCTGCAAGACACATCCTACCTTGCACTGCTCTATTACAACAGTTGCAATATGGTTAATTTCTTTTTAACGCTATAAAGGCTATAAGGAGTTCGTTACTCTCAAACTCTGAGCAAGCCAAAGATCATGCCTTCATTTGCCTGGCTGTATGTGGGAACTGACCTGTATTGCTCCGATATTCTCCATTAACTGGTCTGCATTGGAAGCGCCTAGCAAAACTGAGCTGACTCCTTCGTTCCTCAGGCACCAGGCTGGAGTGACAGAAAGGGTTAGGGGAGCTAAGTCCAGGGGGTTCACTGCGGAGCACACACGTCATTCTTTACATTCATAACCAATGCAGTGCAGAGCGGCAGAAGCAGCTCTTCATTCTCTGGCCACAACTGGCCAAAGCGTACAGAGAGTGGAAGCACTCACTGCAAGGCGCTGTGTGCGTATACCCCGTAGCATGTTTATACGGTCAGGAGAGGCGGGCTGGGTGGGGGAGATGTGCCCAGGCAGGGAAGGCACTGCGGTTAGGCTTTCTCTGGCCATGCAGGCTGGTCTTTCCCTGCTCTGAAGCGACTGAGCCAGACTCCACCTGCCTCAGGCAATGACTGACTCAGGGCGATGGTGGGTATTGAAGAGAGGAAGCGAAATTCCTGTCTCCTCAGAGCAGCTTTTCATTCGAGCAGGCACAAGAGAGGCAAGGAGCTGGGTCGGACGGTCTGGAATTCGGTATCAATGCCAGGGAATGATGCTATTCTTATCCAGTGCCCCTCTGCTGCATTCTAGCGACAAAGGACAGGGGGACGATCTCTCTCGCTCTGTGTGTCTCGCAGTCCGCTTACCGATGGCGAGCTGTGGCAGGGTGCATCCCAGGCGCTCTGCAATGGCTTGCAGCTCCTTCAGCTTTGCTTGCTGTCTTCTTCCCTCTTCGCTCAGGATCTTGTCTTTTAGCCACTGGTATCCCTTTGAAAAGAGGCACATTGATGGAGAGGGGAAAGAGTCCTTAGCATCTGCCTCCTCCCCAGCCTGCTTCTAGAGAGGGTGTGTCACTGGCTGGGGACGCAGACTGACGCCGGCACTTGCTTGGGACCGAGGCCAGCTCCCACTGAAAGCAATGGAAAGGTGCTTCTGGGAGTCAAGGGAGTTGGCCCAGAGGCCAGCGCGGGGGGTTCTGCCACTTGAACTTAGTGTCACAGACACGTTTGGAGTTGGCGACACGGAGGGAACAATCCAAATGGAAATGGGGTTTATTGTGTGTGTGTTCTATCGCTCTGGCATACGGTCAAGGGACTTCCCATACATCTTCGGGGCTATACTACAAAGATATCAAGGATTCTGAACAGCCCCCCAAACCCGTGGCTTATGCACAAGGAACATGAAGTGAAGCAGAGTTCTAGCACAGAGATCTCGGTAACGGGGTGACCCTCACACAGGAATGCTTAGCACAAGAACCAGAATGTGTGAGGTCTCCCAGTTGTGACACGGCAGCAAAATTAAACACACCCTTGCAGCAGGCGGCTAATTAAAGGGAAATCCCCTCCAACACTATATTACTTAATGCAGGTGCAGAATTCATTGAAATAGGAAACAAAAAATATACAAGGGGGGAAATAATGTGTTTTGCCTACAGTGCCTGTCCTTCAATGTGGGGTAGGGCAGCTCACCAGAATCAACACTCTCAGTGGCCCTCATATGATCCTGAAACCAAACTAGCCTCAACCAAGGAGACTATGTACTGGGAGGCAAGAGGAAAAAAACCCCATACTGGCTGCAAGATAAAACCTCAGATGCAAGGGCTGATAAAGAGACACCGTTCCACCCACCCAGTATCTCTCGCACTTCAGCACCAACCCATAAATCATGCTGCAGCCTCTTCCTCACCTTCAGCGATGCTCTAGAGTAAGGGGGGATTCCACCATCATATTTTCCAGAAACAATTCCACAGGCCAGCGGGGACCAGGTCATGGCGCCAACCCCTGAGAAGAGAGAGAATACTTACTGAGGGCACTGCAGGTTCCTGCTGACAGCCGGGGGGGGGGGGGGGGGGGGGGGGGACAAAAATCGAATCCTTCCCGGCCTATCAATATTATATGTCATTAAAGCCCCTCCCTGCTACGACAACACAGATGTTTCCATGGATACAGTAACTACAATCTCCTTTGTTTGGTTTATTTAGTGAAGCAGTTTGAACAGGAGACACATTTGTCTGTACCCTGGAAGCCCATCTTTGTGTAAAGGGCTAGACAGACCAATCCTCTTCTACTTTACCAATGGGCCGTATGCCAGCGATGCACAGCACAGGCTTGCCCAAGGCAGCTTGGAAACCTCCAAGTAAAGCGAAGAGTGAAACTTGAGAGAAGAGTTGTCAAGTCTGTAAATGACTCAGCTTTGACTTTTAAGAGGAAGATGCCTCCTCTCTCCTGTGCTCTCTGGCTGTTTTATACTCTTCAGAGGTAACCTGTGTGTGTGTGTCTCTGTGTCTCATGCACACACACAAGGTTTGTCCAGCTGCATCAGGAGTTTGGGCTCTGGGCCTCAGCACCTAAAATTTCTTTCCTAATTCCAGGCTGCTTTTTCTGATTACGATATAAACACATAATCCTGTAAGAGGATTTCAGCCAGAGCAGAGACACCGAGCGACTTGGCATGGCTCAAATAATGCCAGGTTAGGGTGTGCAACAGCCACTCCAGGGCACTCAGAAGTTAAACAATTACCAAAGCCAGTGGCTCCGACTCGGCATGATGCTCACACACTGGGCTAGCAGTGTGGAGGAGACCCCAGCTAAAGGGCCATGTCACCAACTCAGCAGCAGCTAGGCCTGGCCAGAGCTTTGATATTCAGATGGGGCTAGATCCCGCAGCGTGATCCCCCTTTGCTGTGGCAGAGGCTGGGACAAGCATGGCTTCGGGGTGACAAACAGGTCTGACACGGCTGCTGAGATTTATTTTCCCTAAAATTATGACTATTTCCCCCATATATTAGCACATTTATTCAGTTTTTTAAAAACTATTTTTGTATGTTTTAAACAGCAACACCCCCCCCAGCGCCCCATGAATACGGGGCCTCGTGCTGACGTGGCATGTTGTACGTGCCGAAGGGACACGGTCAGCAGTGGGGACTCAGAAGAATGCTCCCCGGAGCCGAGTGCTGGGCCGGGACACCCCAGTCTGCTGTCAGGGAAACAGCCGCAGGGCCCCCGATGCAGCACTCTGACTACAGCTGGGCAGGGTTTTTTTAATTTGCCAAAAAGAGCCAGTTTTGAGGCAACAAAAGCATTTGCGAAGTTGGGGCTAATTCAGCAAATTGTTCTGACTTTGTTCCAGAATTTTTGTCCTCTCTTTTTATTGGGTCAAAACTGATTGTTTCAACATTTCCAACACAAACCGTTTCAACATTTTGTTTAGAAAAAAGCGTTTGTTTAACCCCAATGAAATCTTTTCAGTTTTTCGTTTCGACAAGAAAAAAAATTATTAAAAAAAAACAACCAATCAGGGTTTAGCTTTGAATTTTTTCTGGATGTTTTTGGTTCAGCCACCAAACTAAAAAAAAAAAATCACCTATTTGTTCATCCCTAATTCTCGCCTCTCTACAGACCCTAGGAGGAAGCGAACACGAACCAGAGAAGGACTTACTAATCTTCAAAGACACCTGTGTGTTTGAGAAGGGGAGTAAGTGTAGTGGAAAACATGACGGCTAAGTAAAGCACATGCCCAACCCTTGTGAAGTTCAGACCCAGGCCTGGATTGGAGCCGTGGGCTTGGGCCTCTCTCTAGATTGCAATTTTTATACTTGGCCCATGTGCGCAATGCCCCTGGGCCAACCCCAACCCTCCTCAATGGAAAGCAGGGGCCTGTTGCCGGATTACTGTTCCATTGGGAAAGGCAATTCTAGACACAAAAGCCAGAGGTTGGGCATTCCAGGCAGCTGAGCTGAATATCCACAGACCCTTTATCACAGGACCGAGCCTCTCGACTCCTGCTCCCTTCCCTGGGAGTGTCCACCTGTGCCCCCAGCCAGCCTCGGAGAACGCGTAAGGCTCGGGGGGAGGGGGGAGATTTGTACCGATCTTGTGAAAGAGCTCAGGGAGTTGCACCTCCACCTTCTCCCTCTGGAACATATGGTACTCGGCTTGCTCACAAATCGGCGGGATTAGGTTAAACTGCCGTGCCACTGAGTAAGCTTCCTGCAAGCACAAAGATAAATGCAAATCAGCATCATCCCCCCGCTTCCTATTGGGCAGGGCTGCCCCATGCTCTCCTCCCGGAGCAGGGCGAGGCCTCCAGGTCATCCCCACGGCACTGGGGCTGGGACTTCCGGCGACCCCGCCTGGCTGGTGAAAGGGAGTAAAACCTAGGGACATGGAGAGAGTGGCCATTGCAGAAACAGAACTAATTTGTTCCTGTGGCTGACGGGGACCCAGGGCCTTGCCGAACAAGCAGGGACTGGAGGGCCCAGTCCTATGGGAGATTCGCCCATTGGCAGGCCCCAGTGGGGACTTTGCCTTTGATTTTAAAGGGCACGAGCCAGGCTCTGGGGTCTCTGACTCCAAATGTGGTGCCCACACTGAGCCTGAGAGGTCTGTATGTGTGGAGCGTTCCGGCGCTCTGCTGCTGGGCGTGCGCTGACACGTGCTTTAATGCCAGCGTAGCCACCGCACGACCTGTCAAAATTCAGCTGGAAGGGGCTCGAAAAGGCCCAGATTGGCCCCCAGGGCTCCTGTGATGCTGCCCTGGAGACAGAACTTTGTGTCAGCCCCTATGTCTCTAACTGTATGTTACCAGGGAGACGGTCACATTGAGAGGAAAAGGCGACTGGCTGGAGAATCTCAAGTCAAAGGATTTAGCTAGAAATCATGTTAATTCACCCAAAAGTTGGAGCAGATTGAGCCAGCAGACCACACGGAGCAGGGAAGTGCCAGAGGGGGACATCTCTCACTGAAGCGGCTCAAACCAGTGAGGAGAGAGAAGGGGGGGGGGGAAGCTGGGGACTCCTGTGACAGCAACGACAGGGATACCCCGCTCAGGTGTCCTCCTCGCTGACCCCAACATCTGCACCCGCAGAAGCCATTACCATGGTGCCTCTGAGTTTACCTCCTTTCCCGTCCAGGGAACCCTTTCCCCCTACGGCACGAGCCTGACACACTCCGATGAGTCGTCCGATCAGATCTAAAAATAATTACGGCTAAAATACATCTGCAAGCAGTCGGCTCCTGACAGCTCCTGTCTAATTAAATCACCATCAACACAGCACTTCCCCCCCACAACGCCACAGAGAGGCACTTTGCGCTGGCGACTGCAGTCTGCTCGGCCTCTGCTCAGCATCAGCAGCGCACAGATCATTTATTTATGGCGTATCTTCTGGCGCTTGCATTTCAGCAATGGGAACGCACGGGCATGCGTGCGCCCAACACACACAGACACAGACACACACAGTACCATGATCTCCATGGAGCTCCAGCGCGACGTTCCCCAGTACATGGCCATTCCCTGGTTGATAACATGGGTCATTGCTCTCACCGTCTCTGTTAAAAAGGAAGGGAAGGCAAGGAGGGAGACATGTCAGCCTGGCACGCAGGGCTGGGGCTATTCAGTAAATAAAGGCTATGACACCAAAAGGAAAGGGGGGCTTTGACTGTACAGACATCTTGCAAGCAGTGTACTTCCAGACTTCAAACTTGGAGACAGGAGTTTTACAAGGAAATTAAAAAACAAAACGAACGAACAAAAACCAAAAAGCCAACCCACAAGAGAGACTGCTCATGAAATCATTTCCCCATATTTATTACTTGTCCAAATCTGTAAAGAATAATCGAATGCAAAAATAAACAAACAAACCAACAACCGCCAGAGATTGGGTTGGAAAGGGACCTTTTTTATGGGTGCTTGTGCTGAAATGAGGGTGAGAAGAAACAGAGGAATGTAAATTATGATGCCATAAGAATTGAGTTTTGTTTAGTTAGTTGCTTTTTGGAGAATAATAGGATTAGCCTAGAGGAAAATAACCATTTGCAATGGACCAGCGAAACGTAATGAGGTCACAATCAAACAGGTGAAATGCAGTACACAGAGTGGTGGAAAACAATGTCCAACTTCACGGATGTTCACACTCTCCTGTGAGATGGGGATGGACAGGAGCCACAGGATATATCGCACCCATGTGTGGGGGAAAAAATAGCATCTTCAAGGTCCTACAAAAAACAGACCTGAAGACTGGGTTTTCCATCTAAACAGAGGAAAACCAGATCAAATCCACCAGGATGGAAGAGCTGTCACAGGAGGGGAGACATTAAAAAAACCACAACAAAAACAGTAGGAACGTTTCTGGGAGACCAATTTCTTTGTGGAGCAGGGCTAGACTCCTTGTGTGTGGGGGTGGGAGGGGGATAGTTTGGAAGAGGGATCTGGAAACAGCCCAATATTTGTGCAGTTCCCAGCACCTTCCAATTTTGCTTCTGGGCATCATTGCTCTGCTGAACGGAGAGGTATGAACCCAACTCCCAGGTCCGTTCAGAACTCCCTGTGCAGTGACAGACGAGCTGAAACGCGACCCCCGAGCATCTGGAATCAGCGGATTTCAGAGACTGAGGAATACAGGACGAGCTGAGACTGCTGGATGTTAAGGATGGTTAAAAAACCCTCGTCTCCAGCTTTGCCCTTATAGTTTAGCTGCTGTGAACGTCAGAGATTGCTACTACTAAGAAAAATTCATCATTAGAAAACATCCATTAGCTATGAAAAACCTAGAGGGCCAATTCGGTCTTTAGAAAGACGTCTGCAAAGCAAATATTGCAGCTGATTGTAGGAACCCATTAAGTTCGTTTGGCCGCATGGTTAATTCTGCATCTAAAAACTGCTCAAGTTCAGATTTTTCTTTTTTGAGGGTTGTCACTGTGATGGGTGGTCGGCCGTCCCTGTCTTTTCCAAAGGTGCTGAATGTACGTAGTGGATCCAGCCGCGGAGGTCTAGAAAAGGCAGCTGTAAGAATACATTGCTTGCAAGGTTGGTTGCAAACGTTGCAGTATAAAGGGAAGATTGCAAACAAGTGTTTCTAAAAACAATCCATTGACGGCCTGAAAAAATAAACCCAATAAGAATATCTAATTCAATGTGATTATACACATGCACACACACTCACTCAGACAAAAGACAAGTGTGTATGTATCCCAGTCTTCTGACTAGTTGAAGGTGGGAAGCAGACAATGCTATGTGTTTGTCTAAGTGCAACGCTAAACATGCTGGAACCTAAAAAAAGAGACTAAGACTGTGAAACCTGAGGCTCCTCAGTTGACACTAGCCCAAATGTTTTAAACGGCTGCTGATTTCGGGTGCTTTGAGGCAGTTAGGGCCCGATTTTCAGAGGCACAGAGCGCCGGCAGCTGCCCATATTCAGCTCCTGGGATAATCAGCACTGGTATCTCCAGCTGGGACAACCAAAAACTCAACCGGCAGTTTCCGAACTGGTGTGAAGATGCTTTGTCCTTTATTAGACTTGGAGTCGCACTGTTCAACACAGGTTCAACCGCCCCGTTGCTGACACTGACCCCTCAGCATGTGGTAGTGTAAAAACAGGCTTGAGAAAGCAGCAGAGAGTTGGAACATGCAGTTCTCTGTCCTGGTCTCCACACCCCCCATGGGCTGCAGCCTGCAGATTGCAAACTTCTCCTTGGACCACAAGACACAATCCTTCCAAAGACGCTAATTACGTTTGCAAAGTCACAAAGGGTGCGGAGCTTCGTTAGGTGGTGGCTTCGTTAAGCTATGTTAGTAGCTGCCGCCCAAGAGTGCTCAGCAGCGAGTTCTCTGTTCATGGTAACACCCAACTAGCCGTTATCGCAGAGTCAGCCCTGTGCTGGTCTAAATGTTTCTCTCGTTTCCTCACAGCTGCTTTAGGAAGCGCCGCTGAACAGGTTTAAAATAGTGAAATCAGAGAGAATATTTTTCAGTCTCCAAAAACCTCATTTCTGGGCTGAGACCCAATGTGAAGGTTTCAGCTCCGAGGAAGGGATTGTTAGGAAATTCTGAGCATACAGAAGCAGGAGGATGAGGAAAGTCCAAATGTCAAGAGCTCTATAGCTTGGACTTTCATGAAGAGAGACTCAGATTAGCAACCAGAAGCAAACAATTCCTGGAAAGGCCACGTAAACGCCTTGATCTGGCAGGAGTGTGCTAGGCATTGGGTCAGCGGTCTGGGGCAAACCCTGCTCCTGCCGCCCAGTCCACGTAGCTGGAGTCTCCATCGGGGCAAGCGCAGAGGAACCCTCCTACGCCAAGACACAGGGGATGAACATTTGACCTTACTGAAGTCAAGGGGAGTTTTGTCATTAACTTTGATGGGGCCAGGATTTCACCCAGTCTCTGCAGCTGCCACAAGCCGCGAGTATTTAAAGAAAATACATTACACACACACACACGATGCAGAGTAACAAACGCAAATAACCCCAATCTTCTTTAACCCTTGTTCTCCTTTCTCCACAACCTTCCCCTTGGTCTCTTGTCTGAATGTAGGCAAATAGAAGATGAGGTCTCTGCCCCAGTCTAAGCCGCTATGCACATTCATGGTACTGCATTAGCAAAAACTGCCATCCCCCTAATTTTGTTTCTCTGAGCTTACATTAAACCAAGGCTAGGTCTACACTACCCGCCTGAATCGGCGGGTAGAAATCGACCTCTCGGGGATCGAATTATCGCGTCTCGTCGGGACGCAACAATCGACCCCCGAATCGACGCTCTTACTCCACCAGCGGAGGTGGGAGTAAGCGCCGTCGACGGGAAGCCGCGGAGGTCGATTTTGCCGCCGTCCTTACAGCGGGGTAAGTCGGCTGCGATACGTCGAATTCAGCTACGCTATTCGCGTAGCTGAATTTGCGTATCTTAAATCGACCCTCCCCTGTAGTGAAGACCTGCCCCAAGGAAAGAGGTGCCAGAGAGTCTGAGACTCAATCTGCCAGTTAACATGGGAATTTATTGCTTAACTTCTAGGTGTTAGTCAAACTGCTGCTGCCCCGTTCTGTCGCTGCCTTTTCTTTTCTTTTTTTAGAAACACTGTCAGGAGTCCCTGTCCAGGCTCTCCAGCCAAGTCTGAACCATGCAGGCTGAGTTTGAAGCCAAGGCATAAACTCATGCCAAGGAAAGAAGCAAAAAGAAAAAGTCACACCAGGCTTCACATGGCCATCACATGCACTGACAGAGTGTGACAGTTTAGCTAAGTGCTGGGCTTGTGCAAACGAAAGTTTTCCATAGAAATAAAATCTGGGAGGTCGGTAGTACATCTTGCACAAGATCACAAACCATGACAAGGAGGAAGACCAGCCCATCATAAGCAGAGAGAGCAATGACTGTCAGAGCTGGGCAAAATGGGCATTTCTTACGTCACTGGAATAGGCTCAGCAGGTTGCATACAGCTGGTGTCACATTTGGTCATTAGCTGTATTGCAGTTGCCCCTTTAATTTAAAAAATCCCATTGGCACGGAGACTGGAGCCTTATTTTCCCAAGTTCCAGACACTAATGCTTGAATAACCATATTAAAAATGTACTGCAAGTGAACTGCAACAGGCGTTCAGTTCAATAATGAATAGGAGCAAGAAGACAGAATGCTTTGTACCTACTGTACATATTCATAGCTGGGGCTGTAAAAAGTTAGACTGGCTGGATATATAACCAGCCAATTATTAGCCTTTTGGTCCCAACCTAGTGGTGGTAAAGGGATGCACCCCAGTGGTAGCAGCTCCCCGTGGGAATCTGACTCTGAACAGGGCTGAAAACTCTGCCCCGTTATTTTAATGTAGTCTTTAGTCAAAATTTACCACAACAGGGAGCGCAGTTACACAGAATTTTGCCCAACCCTAGTACAGGCTCATAAAAAAAAAAAAAAAAAAAAAAAAAAATTCAACCACATTCCTTATGCAAGACCAGGCGCATTAAAAGGGGTGAAGAAATCAGCATAACATATTTCAGTAACTGACTAGAATAACAACTTTGGTAGCCAATTCATTCAACTTACCAGACAACTGTATTTTCTGATGCTAATGTAAACTTTAAGGCCCGTGGTGTGGGTTGAGTGCTGATAAGTGGACAGTCTTGTGGACTTTAAAACTTCTGGGTGAGGAACACCACAACCTGCTTGTTCTCCCCTGGACTACTGATTTGTTCACCCTGATCCCTGAACTGCTCTCCTCCAAGATCACAAGCATGTTAGGAACAGGTACCATGTTATTTTAATGAACCAACAAATTAGGCTTTAATGCAGAATTTCAAACTGAGGGGACCTCCTGTCATACAGACAAGCATAGCAGAAAATGGCACGTCATGCACTGAACAAAGGAAAGGAACAAAAGAATGAAGTGACATGAATCGAGGGAAGAAGAACTAATCACTATGTTGCTTTTTTCTTTTTACTTGCAAGATGTTCTCAAAGGCAAGGAGGGTTTTTTGTTTGTTTTCCTTTGTGCATTTTATGGAGAAGTTTGCCACGGGGGAAAGGAAGTCGTGTAAATATAAATACAGAGTCTGTCCCATAAAATGCTGTTTGGACACAGAAGTCAATATTCGGACTGCGGGTACGATGTACCTTCTATGATGAATGTTCTTGACTTGGAAGAACTAAATGGGTCCCCTGGTGATAAAAGAAAGATTTAAAGAGACCAGAGTTTACAACTGCTGGCATATTACAATGAACGGCATGACAAAAGGGTCTGGGTCTGGAGGAAGAATAGCCCCCTATCAAAGCACCATTAACACAGTCTGTTCCAGAAGCAGAGCGCATCCCGAGAAGGCCTCGTCACATGGGGATGGAGGGGGATTGAGGTTGCAAAAGATTTTTGGTTGGTTTGTTTACATATGCTGAACGTATTAACACATGAAACAATTGCTACATAATGGAAAACACACTGCAACTAAAAACCCGTCACCAAAATCATGATTAAAACATTCAAAACATCAAAAAATAAAATGCAATGAAAAATTCAGACCTGATTTGACTAATAAGATGTTAAACTAACAAGGAATTAACAGTTCCTTCTTAGAATGGGTGAGTATGTAATCCAGAAATGGGACAGGCCATGAAATGAGAAAAGTTAGATCTGTTGCAGAGGTACAAACTGCTAGCACAGCAGCTTGAGAAAATTATTATAATGATCGTAACCCTATTGCTGATTGTATTATCCTAGAACCTAGGAGCGCCAGTCATGGACCTGGGCTCTGTCGTGCTTGGCAAACACGCAACGAAAAGGGAGATAACGCAGCGAGAATCATGTATTTTCAAGAGTCCCAGTTCAGCCTGCAGCACAAACCCCAAAGGGACAAGGACAGCATCTCATTCAGGCCTGGGACGCCTAAGCATAAGAGTTTCCCCATGACACCAAGCAAGGGGAACGTCCCCTGAGAAGTCCTTTGACTGGTGCCTCTCTATTACACTTTGCTGGGGGAGAGAAAGAGGCTATTCTGAAAATGATTTGGCGGCCCACGGCTAGCGCTCCTACTCCCCAACGCTATACTCTTTAGAAGTCACTCCCTACTTCCGGACGCGAATGGTGAGACCGCGGCTAGTCCATCAATCTCAACTGCCTGCTGACCAGTACCTGGAACAGAAACAGGCTGTTCGGGAGAAGCTGGCAGTAGAACCTACCTTCCATGGGTGTGTTGGGATCTGGTCTGTTAGCAAACACGACATCCACGTACTCTAACTGCAGCCGTTCTAAGGAAGCCTTCAGACCTGGTGATGAGCAAACAAGGACAAAAGGCCATCAAGCACATTTCCCCTCTGAGCACCCTGCTTCGTTACCTCCGAGCACTTTGCAAACACAGGCTCGGAAGAGCTGCACTAACGCTCTTGAGATGGTGCCCTGAGGCCTGGTGATCACAGCTTTGCTGAGGCTGTCCCAGAGCGTTAAGAGCACCGCGACCCACATCTGCGCTAGAGGGCTGTGCTGTGCCCCATGCTCCGTGGAGAGCCCCAACTCGCTGCTGCCCCAGCCCCAGCTTTCACAAGGGCTGGCCACTCACTAATGAACAGAATGAAAACCATCTCGGGGAGAGCTGCAGCACTGGTGACGCTAAAACGTATCCAACCGCTGCCCAACGGGGGCCAGTTGCCAGGCAATTTGAAGGACACTTATAATGACTCTCAGGGAAATATTCAGCTCATTATTAACAATAACCACCAGCACGTGCCTCTCCCCCACCCTGCTCCTTCTGCCAAGCCAGGAGGTTGGTGTCTGCAAGGCACTCTGCAGTGCCATTAACGCCATCTCGGCAGGACAGCACACCCACAGCTTCCTGGTCAGGTGTGTGAGAGCCACTGGGACACGGCAAAGCAGCCGCCGAAGCAGCCCAAGGATGGGCTCAGCTGGAGCCCTGTCGAAGAGCGTTGGTTCCTTCTCCTGAATGGGAACGCCCCAGGTCCCAGTTCCCGCAGACTCTCCCACCGTAATATACAGGAGCAGCAGATAGGCTCCGATCCAGCAAAGCACATGGTTAAGCATGTGAGTAGTTCCATTCAGTTAAATGGGGATACTCATGTGCTTAAAGTTAAGCATGTGCTCAAGTGCCTTGAAGGGTCAGGATTATGTACAGCATTAAAGCAGATGTGCTCTCTCTCACCTTCTATGATGTGTTTTCTGGAGAGTCCCCTCTCAGTCTCTGCTCTGAAAAACAACAGGCCCAGGTTAGCAGTGTCCAGTACAACTAGGACAATTACAGCGGTGGTGAAATTAGCCTGTATTACTTACTTTCCTCCCCAGAAGATTTTGGTTGTGATGACCAGGCTAGAGCGCCTGCGAAGAGAAACAGAGTCACTGCATAAAATGTACCAAGCCAAGGTTCCCTTCTGCCCTCTGTGCTCGTCTGGGTGCCCATCCCAACACTTACCACCCCAAGGCGAGGCTTGCCCGCAGCTTCCAGTTACGCAAATACCCACAGCACTTCCCAACTCATTGGTCTGTGAGAGGCAAGTGATTTAGCACCAAGCACTGTGGGGGCACAACCAGGATAATTCTATTGACTTCACCGTGGAGTTACTGCTGATGTACCTCAGCGTAAGTAAGGTTAGTGATTTGCTCGGCTGTTTGATCAGAAGCCTTCACTAGCACAGATCAGGAGTGTTATCTCTAGGACCCTCCTCACCTTGGATGATCCTGGGGTTAAGTCTTTGGGTGAGATTGTCAAGAGTGCGATTGGTGTCTGAAAGTCCCAGCTTTGGGTCTGGCCCTGTAGCCCAAAGTCACTTTGCTTCAGGGCCATCCAGCAGGCTATAGCATGGCAACTACTAGGAGAAACTGCTACCAGCTCCAACTACTGTGAACTTACTGAAACAGCTGCTATGGTCCTGGAGCCTACTCCAGACTTAAGAGGGCTGTTTGATTTAAGAGTCCAAATATTTTTGTTCAGGCACGCAAATAACGCCTTTTCAGCCGTGTCCATGACCACTAAAACCAGATTATATACAACACTCATTGTGCCCACGTTACGCTACGGTTGTGAAACATGGGTACCGACAAACATCCAGAACCAAAGCTGCCAACTCTGGAAGTGCGGCATCTGCGCCACATCCTAGGCCTGACAAGGCTGGACAGACGAAGAAATGACGACATCTGTAGAAGACTGAAAGTGCAGTGTGTGACTGCAATCATCAAAAGGCTCCAGCCACAGTGGGTTGGCCATGTTGCTAACATGACCGCCTAAGACTGTTCTTTATGGGGAATGCATGGTGAGAGCGGCCAGGAACGGTCCCGGAGACAGTGGTGAAACAGGGCATACAAAACTACGCAGGCAACACCCCAACAGGCTCAAATGGCATCTCAAAGCAGACATGGACGAATTTGCTCAGGACCTGGGTGCTGGAAAAAGAAGAGGATGATGTGCCAAAGAGCGCCTCCTAGCGCTGACAGGAGAGCTCCTGGTGGGATTTGCTAATAAGTCAATTACCTTTAATTACTGGGAGCTGCAGTCACATGGTAATTAATGCAAAGAAACAATCTCAGGGGAACAAAATGACAAGTATAAATAATTGAGTGGGAAAAATGTACCCAATAACCACTGACTGGGATGATAATTGTGGCATTCGGGAGGGAAGGATTTACAGACTTTCTGACAATCCTACTATGATTAATGATTCATGCCCAACTGCAGTGAGCTGGTATTTGAAATTGCTCTTCCTTGTGGCTTTTACAATTTGAGATCACTTCGAACACCTCCCTGAAGAAACGCCACTCTGCTCTGACCCAGCCAGGACAGGGGAGAGGTGCCAGGCTGTGATGGACTGACGAGCCCTGGCCATCTCCATCAGGAAAAGGAATGGAGATTTACCAGGGGAAACAGTGAGATTAAGAGACCTTTGTCTGGCATGCACCTTGGGCCCCAGAGCTACCAGAAGACTGAACGCCAGCCATAAAGAACGGCGTTATTATTTCATGCCGATACAACCACCTAGAAGGCAGAAACTCTCTTCATTCGCAGGAACAAGTCCAGGACAGGCAGCAGCAGTAAAAGATTCCCCTACCCTGCCCCACTCCTACCCTGGAGCGATCACTGCGAGGGACCAGAGAGGGGATTTCACACTCCGTGTCCCAAATGTGGTGCTCACAGATGCACCACTCCCTGCAAATCCCAGTACAGTTATTTGACTCTTCACCTGGCTACCTACCGTTCATTTCCTTCCTTCTGTATCAAACACAGTGGTTATCAAGGAAACTGCCCAAAGCATAAAAATGAAGCACTGTGGCTCTAACGTGGCACTTGGCCTAAGGAAGAATAAAATTACCTCCAACCCTTCTTCTTAATAATATTTCCCAACACAACTTCAGCCCTGCAACGAGAGAGAAACACAAATGATGATTTCATCAGTCTGGTATAGAAATTAGGTCCAAACCATTTCAATCATGAAAATCGGCTCTCGACAGAGGGATCCCATGTATTTCAAATCCCGGGTGTTAAAACGTTATTAAGGAGCTAAGGAGAACAAGACAATTTGAGGCTAACGAGGCTACCCCAGGCCCCACCCACTCCAGTGGCTATTAACGGGCTCTCTGAACAAGGAGGAATCCTGCATGTTGTTTACACTGCAGTACAGGATCAAGTGACAGCTGGAATTTTCTTGGCATTTGTCAGGGTCAAAGATAAAAATATCCTGGCCACAGGCAATGTAATTTCCTCCTTCCTTTGCACTGTCCTGCAGTGTATAAAGAACTGCTCTCTGTAATTGCTTGTTATACATCTTAGCAACAGAGATGGGACAAGAACGCAATGTACATTACATTTAATACCCCCATCTGCCAGAGCTGCGTCCCTTCACTAACTGATCCCAACCCTACTTCCCACAGGAGTCATTTCTTTTGGCCCAATCCTCTAATTTGTCTAGGTCCCTCTGTATCCTGTCCCTACCCTCCAGCATATCTACCACTCCTCCCAGTTTAGTGTCATCTGCAAACTTGCTGAGGGTGCAGTCCATGCCATCCTCCAGATCATTAATGAACTTATCTAATTCTTTTTTGAAAAGTTTCTGAATTTGTGGCTGTAATTTGCTTCTTGGTAGTTGTTAAAGAAGAATTAAAATAACCCTGTCCTGCTCTGCTCATGATGGCCTGGAAGATAAGCTGGGCTAGTCAGGAAGTGCTGTACCTGGCAGCGTAACCAAATCAGTGAGACAGGAAGATAGAACAGGCTGTGGTCAGCCAATCAAAACATGGAGTGCACCAATCTCAAACTCTTTCAGCCACCCGAACTGAAACAGGAGCAAGCATCTGTTAAATCTCAGAGGCAACGCTAACTCCCAGATGTAACTTTTCTGGCCACGGGAAATTAGAGGGAGGCTACTCTTTGATAACACCCAAGCATCAGGTTCGAAGACCCTTGAGTTCAACAGGAGTTTGAGCCAGACTCTCGGGATCTGGCTCTAGATCAGTGCGTTCATTCAAACACATCTGGAGGGGTGTGTGTTCGTTTCTGCTTCCAAGCACGTTTTAATCATTCTGGGTGACACTCAGCCTCGTGGCCCATAGGCCTGAAGAGGCAGTTGAGTGGCGCACAGGACTTGTGCATGGGTCTTCTGTAAAGGGGGCAGGGGAGATCTTGCCCCAGGAACTCAGTTCATTAATTCTCGTAGGGAAAACCCCTACACTGGCACCATGGCAGTGCTGGTAGCCTCACTGTCCGGGCTCTCAGCAAGGCAGGGCTGTCGTTATGACCCGTAGAGCTTGCCTTGAGCTAGGAAAGAATTAGGAAATTTGCAGTTCTTTCCACAGTAGGGTTTTGCCTCTAGACCAAATGCACACTGCACTGCTCCCCCGGGTGTGCTGTCATTCGTGTGCCCCCCTGTATTGATCACCCATCACCTCCCCTTAGACACTGCACAGCAAACTCGCCCCCTCACTCCTTTTTTTTATTCAGTTTTTCTTTAATAAAAACTTCGGAAGAAAAATATTTGTAGATGCGAAAAGGATGGGGCAGCCCAACCCCCAGCTCCCCTGCTACTCGCAGTCTGACCTGTTGAACCAGGATATCGTACACAAAGGGAAAAGCACTGCCAGCCTGTCTAAAAACCATGCCCAGTTACACCGAGAGGGATTCAGACCACCTGCTAGTAATATGCAAGCAAATGCCACGGAAACCTAGTGAGAGCAGGAACAAACACTCTGCACCTCATGGCGTCTACTTTTTCTATTTCGTTTTTCAACAGCATCAGGCTGTGACCTTTTTCTAACGATTGAGACAGGCTCTGGTGCTTGTAATTTATTGATTGTCCCTCCCAATCCATTGTTGCCCATGCACCCCTCTCTGGTTCACAGCAGAACCTCGTTTTGCACACCTGTAAACTGCTGGTCAAAGTCAGTGTACATTAGACTAGCTATTGCTGCTCAAGCACCATTTCATATCAATTTGTACAATCCTAATCCCTTGACAACCTCTGCCTTCCAAATCTCCATCTCTTGTGAGCAGGTGCCCCCACTTATTAGTCCAGACTGCCCCAGGCTCCTTAGCAGTTCACTGTGTGTAGGCCAGAGGATGGAGGCAGCTCATTCCCTGAAGCAGAACTGGGTTTGTCTCTGATTTTGTCTGTTTCAGCGCCGTCAAAGCACCTGGAGTCAGGGATAAGTGCTTCACATGCAATGAAACCAATAGAAATAAAATACATTCATTCACAGACTGTGCCGGGCCAGTGGAAAATGGCAGTGTGAGCCGCTATCTATCTATGGTACTTATATGGGCCCCGTTTCTGAGCAGGGACAAGACCCTGCACCCGGCTGGGTGTACAGGCCTGGCTAGAGTCCACAGGGGTTTTCTGAGGCGAGGCCGGCAGTGTGTCGAGGAACCAAGCGACGTGAATTTACCTTCCCGGCACAGACAGGCTGTAACAATTCGGTGGCTCTCAGGAGTGCTTTTGGCACAGGCCAGCGCGTACTACGTCCTGCCCCCAAACCGAGTGTGGGACTAAACGCGGCGCGGCCGCTGCCCTTTCTCACAGCATTGGCCAGGCAGGAGCAGCACTGGAGCCAGCGAACTTTTCACACAACTTTTCTCAACCTCTTTAACAGTCTGTTCTGTTGGGCGAACAAAGGTTTTGTTTAGATCTTAAACCATAAAATGCCTGGCTAACCCGGCAGGAGCGAAGAACATCAACGACAGAGCACCCTGGCACTCCTCCCCAGCGATCGCTCCTTTGTCATGAACAGAGCATCAGATGGGACCCCTGGCCGAGGGATACGGCCAGAGCAGCGGGATTAAGGGAAAACGTATCTGCAATCTGTCACTTGGCTGAAGCAGTGCTGGGGCTTAGGACTTGATTGTCTACATTCCCCGTCTGCTCTAACTATGCCTGTCTCTTCACTGCCACAGAAGGGGTTTTTCCATTGGGATACCTATCGCAATGTAAAATCCAAGCGGAGATGAAGCTGTTTTTACTTTGACGTAGCTAGCTGAGTTCAACCCTATACCCCTCTCCCTGCCAATATGGGGTTTACCTCGAGGGAGTGAGATGAGGTAAAAACTCCCATGCCTTGTTCCCACTGGGATTTTTGCAGTGAAGACGCAGCCTGTGCGCTCCATAGTGAAGAGCACTTAATTAGAAGCTAAAAAAACACCTGGATTTTCACTGGCAAAGGAATGCAGAAGGGACATCATCATTCTGGGAGAAAAACTTTATGGGGCAGGAGTCTCTGCTGTAATAAAGCTGGTGAAATACTAGAGCGTAAGCACCGGCCACCAGCTGAGGCGAGACCCAGATTTCATTCCTGCTCTGCACTTTTGCTCTCCATAAGAGCAGGGAGTGAGAGCAGAACTGAGCAGGTGCCACGTGACCCCTCTGGCAGAGCAAACGGCAAAGCAAAGAGACTTTGCAGGGAATCCAGGACATGACGCTTTGGGGTTGGGCCGGGGTGTGTGTGCACGTTTTAGAGAACTCCGGAACAAAAGAAAAAATACTGGAGAAAATATAACATAGTAAAAGCACTTTGATCAGGGAAAGTCGGGTAGCCAGGGAAAGCGTCATTCTGGATGTTTACAGCAATCACCCATTTATTAAAACACATCTACTTGTGTCTCCTGGTTAGAGAAACAGAGAAGGTACCTACTTCCCAGCAGCATAGACTTCTGCTGTGTCAAACAGGTTAATGCCATTGTCATATGCTAAAGTCATCAGCTGTTCTGCCATCTGCAAAGAAACATTTGTAATGTTTATAGAGAGCCCGTCGTAGAAAGCAGGAGCCCAGAAACCCCTCGGCATGACCTCTATATCACTAAAACACACGTGTAACACAGCACACGGTAACATGCTTAGGCCAAACATTACAAATTAGGCTGCCTAAAGTTGGGCACCTAATGAGGTGATCTGATTATTTAGATGCCTAACTCTAGGCAGCCACAGTTGGTCTCACTGCACAGCAATACCATGCAAACTGCACGCTATGTATTTTTCAGTCCAGGGTATTTGCCCCCATATCAGGATGCACTCAGTAGCTTATGGATATAAAACAGGGAATCCCAAGCACACCCTGCAATATGATTTTCCTCCTCCCACTTTTATAATCCAGTGTTCAGAAAATTAATTTATATGGTATTAGCTCAGACTACAGCTGGCATCTGTTGGCTCAGAAAAACCATGATGCAAGTATTGCGTTGTATACATTTACTACACAGAATGGAGAAGGCTATAAAGTTGTCTCCTAGTCTGTATTACCAGGGAAAGATACAGCTGCAGCACATGTTTCACAAATGTTACTGGTAAACTGAATAGATCTTCTGAAAGTCTGGCTTCACAGAAACAGCACTAACTTAAAAACTTCACCATCCCCATGAGATGCATGTTCCAACATCCATGTACAATGTAACAGAGCTGTACATGTTTTCTGGGGATATTTGCTTGAACAAAAACATCTGTTAAATTCAGCTGTGTTTGTGCCCCCTTTTGTGTTCATTTCCCACAAATATTACAGAAAAATCACCTTATAGATCAGGGTGTTCATAGAAAGTCATTTGAGACTATGTGCTGACTCCGAATTTTGAACTCTTAAACACAAGTAATTAGCAATGAAAGACTGGTTCTAAGACTTATGCTCACCGAGTTAGGGATCACAAAGACTACCACGTGACCTGTGTGTCCAATTAAACTAACCAATGCATCTCTAATTTTGAATATTAGATAGTTGGAACAAACAGCTCATGAGCAAACTGCTCCTGGAACAATTGTGAAAAGTATTTGGTTTGAATTTAGTCTCTGTTCTTGGAAATTATTCTCCAATTATGTGCTACAAATTATTTGCTAAGCAGTAAGTACTAGTCTTGGTGGATAATAATTAGCCAAAGAAAGGATAATTTTAGTTTCTTTTGGCCATAATCATAAAAATGAATCTAGCTAATTTGAAAAACAAAGTTGAAATATGTCAGACAAACATGAATATTTATGCATCTCTATAGTGAAAATTGGTAAATATTACAGAACCTTTCTTCATTCTGAAGATTTCCCACGTAAAAGGGCATTGGCAACACTTAAACCAATAAAAGGAACTAGATTATGGAGTCTCCTGAAGCTGATTTTCAGTACAATGAAAGGAGACTAAAACAAGAACTGTATCTTTGGAGTAGGCAGCACAAAACAGGGAACAATTCTTACCTCGTCTGTAATCTGCCCTCCAAACGTCACCCATGTTCCTATAAAGGGAAAGAAGGGAAAACACTCATTCTGAAAACACAAGTACAAAATACATACAACTTAACTCTGCTCTGAAAGGCACAATAAACATGGAAAAGGGAGCTCCAGATTGAATGAATCTGTAGGTCACTAGCAGAGAAACACAGGAACAATCCAAACGCAGTCAGTCCTATGCTAGTCTGTCAATACCAAGCTGGCCCCACTGTTCTTCCTTCTGGGATGTGAAATATCCCTGCCCAAAGCCTGTGGGTGGGTGAGCGAACCAGGCTCTCAGGGCCTCCCTATCACTTGCTGTTACACTTAGACTGTCTGTCTCTCTCTCTCTCATGTGTTTGCCTGACTCAGGCAGAAGACTTTTGTCATCCGGGTGGATGCTCAAGGATACCAACTGCTTGGGTTCTCCAACGCCTTCCTGCCAGGTCAAGCCCTCTCACCAAACTGGGATGGAGCATTGTACTTCTGCCCTTGCCAGTCATTTGCAACACCTACTTGCCCTTCCCAGCCAACAACCTGCAGGGAACAGTTAACTAAACCACTTTCGATTTGCTAGTGGAGACCCGTCTGCCTGTAATGACCCCACTGCCTGACATTACAGCATGAATCCCCAGACTAGGAACCTGTAAAAGTTCATCCGTTTGCCATTTCCTCGCCACGCTGTTGCCTTCCCTATTCTAGTGGATAGTGGATACCCAGAGCTTTCTCGATGCTGCCCAATTTTAGCTCTGTTGCAGCTTGGCAAAGGCACGAGGAGCCACAGAGGTACTGGGGCAGCTTCTCTGCAGACTTAGTGCTGGCCTACACATGACATTTTCCCAGTTATACAGAACAGTTAAACAGGTACAGCTCCCCCAATGTGGACATACCTGTCTTGGAATAAGAATGGCTTTTTAAGCCAAAATGACAAACTAAGCTGGAAAAAGACCCCCCCTACCAGAATAAGAGGGTCCACATGGGGAGTTCTACTGGTATAACTATAGCGGTTTAAATTCACACCTTTCCTTATACCAGTATAACTTTCCCATGTAGGCAAGCCCTTAGGAAGACAAGGGTGCATTGGTTGCACTCACGCCACATTTGGAACGTTATCTGAGCAACCAAATGTCTAGAAAGTTAGTCTTTGTTAAAATGAAAAGCTAGATTCTGCAGAAGTCCAAGGCACTTGCCTGTGGATACTTCTAACTTGTCACAGGTGAACAGGGAGCACAGTTTTCAGTTCGTGCTAAGTGACTCTTTGTCTGGATATAATCAATTACAGCAGATTCTGAAATCTGCACAAACTCTCTGCAAACTACAGCTCAGGAGTGGATCATTCTTGAAGGATCTTAACTTGGAAGCGCTGAACACGAGTGTTCATGAGGAAGCGAGAACAATGCCGTGTAGCTTGTTTCATATAAAGAAAGAGGTTAAGTTGTTCCTTGCAGTCCATCTGAATGATAGCAATCGAAGAGACAGACATTTGTTTCTGCACTAAGCTGTGAGGGGGCAGCAGCTATCTTGAGTTGTTGGTGTCTTTTAAGAGATAAAGTGCTGTACTACCAATGCTATCGTGAGGGCTGATAAAACACTTCTGGTTTATGCCCCCCTTTTCAGACATTGATAAACCTGAAAAACAAATTACCTTTTGGGCTGAGATTTCTCAGGCTTGTTATCAGCCCAGGGGAAAATGCTTTTTATGAAAGTTTGATAAAATTTCATTCAGACAAGAGAAACAGATTTTCACTGTTTACATTTTTCAGATGCTTCATTTTCATGACAGTGACTCAAATTGCTTTTCTTTTAAAAGTGACCTACAATGGAAAAATCGTAGGCATGTTCTTTTTCCTTCTTTATGATGGATAAAAAAGGCCTATATGTTTCTCTTCCCCGCAACAAGCAACATTTTAGTTTTCTGTTTGTCTTTTCCATTAAAATGTCAAGGTGAGAGTCTCTGGGGACTGGACAGGTAAAAGTCAAGACAGGGAAAGTTGATCAGCTGAAGAGATGGGATTTTTACTCAGATTCTTTAATTCCCCGATTTCTTTTTGTTCATACTTATTTAACTTCTAGGGCTCATTAACGTTTTGGATACAGGAAGCTTCTGTCAAAAGATTTAACTGCTCACCTTGCAATGAAGGTGTGAGAGCTTAAACTAAATCAACATTGTCCAGTTGTGGCAGGCAGTGTAGTTGTAGCTGTGTCAGTCCCTTGTCGCTCAGACATTGTCCAAGACACACACACAGCAGCTACTCCAGCAAAACAACGGCAACTACACTTGATGTTTCTGCTATTTCTATAAAAAGCACCGAACAAGGAGAACGCCGCTCCCCAACCTGGCCAACTTGCGTCATACATCACAAAGAAGCCAAAGAGAGCCCAAGTGGCCTCGGCAGGTCACCGCTGAGCTTTAAACTGAGCGTGGACTTAGCCCTCACTGAGGGCTGGTGTCTTTGCAAACCAAATTCTAGCGTGACGTGTGCCACGCTGAAGAGCTCTGACAACCACATGCAGCAAGTGGCACAAATGTTACTTTTAAATGGCATGAGCACATGGGTCTCTTGAGGAGCAGACGCAAAGAGATGCCTGTTTGTGAACCCATCCATGACAGCACCCCAGGTAAACTTGTAACCGCCATATATTTTAATACAGAAAACCAATCGGGAATACAAGATGCACTAAGGGCACAGGAGGATTTCAGAGTCTGGTAACCATGCTGGTCTGCGAGGCCACAATCCAGGCTGATTCACTGGGGGAGAGGCCGAGGTTTAGGACAGAACAGAAATCTGTGGTTAGATCTGGTTACTCGGTAACCGGCAGTTAGCAACGACAATGCAGGGAAATGCTGCACTGGTAGCTGGATCCGGTTTCAGGTCATCCATTTTTAATGCAACATGGAACCAGAGGAACATCGCCCTGATGGATGCAAAAGGTGCAGCTCCCTTCACCTGCCACCTCCACCTTGGGGGCCTGTCTCTTACTTAAATAACCGAGGGAGAAATCACTGTGAAGAGGACACAGGAGAGGTATGAGAGAGTGCACCTGACGATCGAGTCACTTACCTAAGCCAAGGCAGGACACTCGCAACCCCGATTTCCCAAGATTTCTGAAAAAGAGAAACACCTCTTAATAGCCACGGGAAATGTCAGAAATAGGATGTGCCATAGCTACATGGGACAGATGCTATGTGTGGTGTCCCCAATCCCCATCCCTTCGGCAAACATCACAGGAACATCCGCTTCCAGAACTATAAACAGAAAGGACAGGGGTTTCGGTGCCCTTCAGTTGCACTCCAATCAACACAAAGTGCTGTGTACGGGAAGTGTTTAGCTAAGCTCTTGTCTTCGAATGAACCATGAGTACAACGTATTCCCCAGGCACCAGCATGGAGCAGCAGTTGATAACACTTCTCCTAAACTGCTGATCAAATGAAATTACTGTTTTCACTACAGGGAAATTATGCAGCTACATATGTATGCATGTATAGATAGAGGAAGAGAGACCTCCATACTGTCAAAAAGGCAATGCTAGTGAAGCCATTTTAAATAAAAGGCATTAAAAATAACTTTTATCCTATGCATTCACTGTTCTTGGAAGATAATTTCAGTACAATTTTAATGACGACTTTTTTATCCTGTTCTTTCTAATTACTTACACACACACACCGTTTTTATGGTGGTGGTGGTCTGGATTTTCTAGTTTTGCCTATGTGACTATTTGGTCTTTGTACTGAGTTGATAAAGTGAAACGCTGAAAAGAAGGCTGCATTATTATTGTAAGAATGTTATGAAGGGCACACCCTACAGTGCACCAGGTGTATTATAAAGAACATGCAAACTCAGTAAGTCGTGGTTATTGGCATGACACTTAACAACCCCCTCGCAACCAACCAACCTCATGTTGGTCATCGAACAGGTACAAAATCACAAGCTGGTATGATTACATTAGTCCCTTTACAAGAGCACATTTAACCCCCAAAATAATAAGGATTGAAGAGCCTGGGGCAGATCTGTGAGTTACAAGAGCTGAGTTAGCATGGATGGAAGATGCACATAGTAGAGACAGACAGACAGTGAGTGAGGACACATGTTGCAAAATTACCTGGAATAAACAGCTAGTGTAACTGTTCTGAGGTGACCCGGTGGTTGGGAACCCCCCCACAAACCTACCAACCTGGGTCGCAGGGCTCTAAAGAGCTTAAGGTGACCATATTCTAGCCTAGTAAAAAGAGACAGAACAAAACAAAAGAAAAGCAAGAAGGTAATGAGAACATGATAAGGAATGAAATAACCATGAGGAAGAGAGAGAAAAATCCAGTTTATTCATAATTTTACCTTGTGTTTATAAGAAAACGGTGACAGAAATGAAAATATGAAATCAGCAGCACAAAGATAGAATCATAGAAATGTAGAACCAGAAGGGACTTTGTTAGGTCATCTAGTCCAGTCCCCTGCACTGAGGCAGGACTAAGTATTATCTAGACCATCCTCGAGATGAAATCAATGAAACAAACGATAGAAGGCGTCACCCCCTCTAAACCCAATTTGATGGCTACAAAATTAAGGCCATGAATTGAGAAGCTATTTAGTTAAAGAAGGAAGAGAAGATAAAGAATGATTTTTCCCTGACTCAAATGAGGTATTAGATAACAATTGATAATGTCAAGAAACATTATTATTTTCCTATTTTTGCAACCAAAACAGGAGATAAATATCTAAAGAGACAACAAACACAGAAACAACAAGGAGTCTGGTGGCACCTTAAAGACTAACAGATTTATTTGGGCATAAACTTTCGTGAGTAAAAACCTCACTTCTTCGGATGCACCCGAGGTTTTTACTCACGAAAGTTTATGCCCAAATAAATCTGTTAGTCT